CCCACCCCTGAGACTCCAGGACGCCCACTGACTTTTGGTGTGGGAACGTCGCACTCTCCCAAGCAAAACCATCGAGGCCCAAGGCAGGGCGCCCAGGAGGCAAGGAGGGCGCCCTGGAGGCAAGCAGGGTGTTTCTTGGCATGGGCTTCCACCGCATCCTGATCCTAGCCCCCGACAGGCAGATGTTCGACGAAACGCACAGAACACAAAAAATACTCGAAATGGTCAACAATGGTACAAACATCGTCCCCAGACTATATTTCTAAGTACTTCGGAATATGCCCCCTCTGTAGAGGGACATGCCCGCCTCAGTCCTAGCACGGCCCGCCCTCCCCTGGGGGCTGCCCACAAAACGTTGCGCCCTGCCGACCGCGCAATACATAACTTGAGGATCTCGAGCCTGTGGCTTCTGAGCATGTTCCCAGGGTGGAGGGCTCAGGGTGAAATCCATAGGGGCGCTTGCACCTCGAAAACCAATCCGTCTTGTGACTACCTGTTGCAGACTCAGGGCTCGAAAATCCATCGAAACGACATTTCAGATTTCACACTTTGCCCTCCACCCAAAGAAAATGCTCGGGGTTTGGATGGCTCGTATTTTTTAGGCGCTCGGGATAAGCTTTCGGCGACAACGTGGCAACTTCAGACTGGCCTGGGTACAACTGGCGATGGCCCTCCCTCCTGCCAGCACGCGCGCGCAGGAGCAAGTGGGGCGGGGCGAGGAGAGTAATGCCAGGCTGCGCCGCTCCACTTCGAGGAGCCGGCGCCAGACCCGAGCGACGCTGGCGAGGTCGCCTCCTCGGATCCTCGACAACAACGGGACAGCACAATCACTCCACCGATGTAGACGTTTGGAGCTCCGCGTGGATTTCTTGCATCGGCGCTGGACCCCCCTGGTCCCATTGGGGCCCCCACACGGTGCGGTGACAAACCGTGCGGTGACCTCAGAACCCCCAATGGCCTCACCGCACGGTCCGTCACCGCACCATTCTGGGGACCCGGGAGGCCCCGGTCGCCCGAGCATGTCCGCTGACGGGGACAGCTGTAAACTGAAGGGAAAGGAGCGTACACCTTTCGTCACCTTTGGCGCCCGCGGTGGCAGCTTAGACACCGTTCAGGGGCCCTCATAGGGCCACGTTCCAGCAGTCCTCCGTCCCCCCCTCATTTATTGCCCTCCGCTGCCGTCCGCAAGACCCTCGCTGGGGTGCCCGCCAGGTCGCCCCAAAGCTACCTTTCACTGCACAGACCTTGCTGACGTACTGTAGCGGATTTCTGAGTGGATCTCTGTGATGCAAAACCCAGAAACGGCGAGCGAAAAACGAAGTGAATGTCACGTGGATGTTTTGAGTCTCGCTAGAGGGGTCTAGCGCGGATCCAAGAAATCCGCTCGGAGCGCCAACAGTTTATCTTTACTGCGCTTTTCTGGTTCGACACCAGGGCCGAGAGAGGACCCCTGAAGGCCGAGCGTACCAGAAGTCATCCAGCTCGATGCGCTCGAATCGTCAGAAAGGCCTTTGGTGCTCCCACCCGCGGCGCCATGAAAGACACGGGCACAACGGTGGAGTCCCCGAACGGCGTGCTCGAGTGCTTCTCCGCACCTCTCAACCGTCGCATGCATAGCTCACATGTCGTTCTCCGCCTTTCGCCTCGACATCTGCTCCACAATGGCTGCACTCCTTTCTGCATCGCGCCTTCACCGTCTTCTTCGTCCTCGTCTCCTTCTCCTCCTCCTTCTCCTCCTCCTCCTCCTCCTCACACATCTAGCGATGGGAGGTATTCGATGCGGAGATTATCATCATGTGCATCACATGTGCTTGCCCTTCCCCATGCGAGTTTCTGGCCATGGGTGAGGCCGAGCGTGGAAAAGACTGCGCTCGCGCAAATCCGAGCGTGAGCAATCCCCCCTGTTGCTCTCTGCCACCGCTTGCTGCTCTGTGCCGCCCGCTGCTGCTCTGTGCCGATCTGCGCTGCTCTCTGATGCTCCCTGCTGGCCCGTGTTGCTCATCAATGCGGGCCGCTGCCCTTGGTCTCTGATGCGCTCTGCTGGTGGCTGCCCGTCTGTGCTACTCTCTGCTAGTCTTTGCAATCATAGGCTGGTCTCTGCTGCTCTCGGCTGGCCTCTGCTGCTCTCCGTCTGCCTCTACGAGTGTCTGCTGGTATGTGCTGGTCTCTTTTTTTCCTCAAGGCAAATCCTAGTTGCATGCTCGAAGTGAAACATCCCGCTGTCGTCGGACCGCCAGCCCGATACGAAATATCGTTGAAACGTATCGCCCCCTCTTTTTGCTGGTGTCTGCTGGTCTCCGCCGCTCTCCGCCGGTCTCTGCTGCTCCCTGCCTGTCTCTGCTGTTCTCTGCTGGTCTCGGCTGGTCTCTGCTGCTCTCTGCTGGCCTGTGGGCCCCGTCCCAAAGTCTGCCCGCGAGCGGGAAGATGACATAGTCTCTGGCGGCTCTACCTTGGGATGCCCTAGTGCCACCCCTGTTGCATCAGTGAACCTGCGGTTCTCAAAAGATCACGTTCGACGGCATCAAACAAACGAAACGCTCTGGGCGCGACCAGGAAAATCAAATACTACCTGGCGGCTGCTCCTTGGGGTGCCCAAGTGCGATGCCTGCTGCATCGCTGTCGCCATGCGGCACTCAAGGGAGAGGAGTCGGCGGCGCCAAACAAGCGAACAGCTCGAGACATCCCCATAATCTGTGCGCAAACGGACACATGACATACCCCTTGGCTGCTTCCCTTTGCGATGCCCAGGTTCCACGCCTGCGACATCGCGGTGATCATGAAGCTCTCACAGGAGAGGAGACGGCGGCGCCAACCAAACAAGTCAGTAGAGACATCCCCCTCAATCTGGGCGCGACCGGGAAAATTGCATATCCCCTGTCAGCTCCAAACCCCCTGCAACACCAAACAAGCGAACCGTTAGATACATTCCCACAATCTGGGCGCGACCGTGAGAATGACATACCTCCTCCGACCCCCCCCCCCTGGGGTGCCCACACGCGGGGCCTGCTGCATCCTGGCGATCACGCAGCCTCAAAACGAGAGGAGTCGGCTGCGCCAAACAAGCGAACAGCTCGAGATATCCCCCAAGTTGGGCGCCAACGGGCAAATGACATTCTCCTTGGCTGCTTCCCCTTGGGATGCCCAGGTGCCACGCATACTACATTGCGGTGATCATGAAGCTCTCAAAAGCGAGGATAATTGTTCTGAGAATGAGAGAGTCCCCATGTGGGAATGATCCGAGAGCGAGTAGTCTGTGTGAGCCTGAGTGCGAGTGAGTCTGAGTTGATGTGTGTCAGAGTGTGAGCGAGTCTGGGTGTCAATGAGTCTGAGTGTAACGTTGTCTCAGTGTGGGGGTGGACCCTCAGTGTAAGTGAATTGTTTATGGGGTATCTGCACAATCTGAGTATAAATGGGTCTGAGTGTGAGTGAGTATGAGTGTGAGTCCGTCTGTTTTGAGAATGAGTGAGTCTGGCTATTTGCGCATCGGAATGTCAAGGAGTCTAGATATGATTCAGTCTGCGTGTGGGAGGGAGACGGCGGGGGTGGGGAGACGGAGGCGTCACCGTAATAACAAGACTTGTTTCTCAGGATCTGGGGAACAGCGAGACCGATCTTGTTCGCCAGTTTCGGGATCTGGAGGCTATTTTGGGGCCCTGGGCTCATTATGACTCCTTCATCTACTCGTCGTCGTGAAGCGGCATGCATATTGCCGGCAGCGAACAAGACCTGCTATTGCCGCTCTTAGCATGAAATAACTGGTTCTGAATTTCGTTGCCGTTTTCGGCAACCTGATGCCCTGCACGGGTCACGGGACCGACAAACAACGACTCAGGATGAAGAGCTGGTCTTAAGAGAGCCGCGGGGTCTAGGAGCCGGTTCCATGGAACACTTGCGACCAATCATGGCGTTCGCATTTCGACCTTCCCGATCTGATCTGCGTTGCATCTGGAAGTGGCGAAATTACCGCAGGCACCCCAGCCAGAATCGAGAGAGCCAAGGGTGAGCGCGAGGCGTCTTCAGCTCGCCAGTCCAACGGGCCAGAGACGTGTTAGAATCCCAAATCAGAGCTCCAGAATACGTGGTCCCAGGTCGCGCGCGCGGGGCCGCCCCTGGTAGGCTACGGGCGAAAGCTACCCTGGGAGACCATGGCCTGGAGATGTGTTGTTTCTTCTGGGCGTTGCCTTCGGGTCTCCCAAAGGGCGCTCCACGTCAGCAAGGCGATCCAGAAAAAAGGTCAGGAGGATGCCAAGACCTAAATATTGCCTAAGATGGCCACAGGAAAACCTAAGAGCCCAAAACCACTCCGAGAGAGACACATGTCACATAAGACAATCCAGAAGGCCCCAAGAAGCACTTCAGGAGAACACCTGAACAAAAAGGCTCCAAGAAGGGAGAGCATTGATATTACTTTGGTTCTCCAACGGCTCTCAAATGATTTTTTTGAGAGAGCGTGATCAACCACCACTTTACCGTGGAAAATTCCCCCCTCTCTTCCTCCGAAACCCGGGGGTCCCCCCCACTTCGAAAATCCCCCCCCCTGCTGGACCCCCTCCCCCCCTTCCCCCGGCACCCCCCCTCCCTCCCCCAACCCCGCCCCCCCCCCTTCCTCCCCTCCAGAAAACCAGCGGTGTCACTACCGGTTCGAACCCCCCCCCCTCGGAAAACCGGGGGGGGTCACTGCCGGTTCGAACCTCCCCCCCAGAAAACCAAACGAAAATCACTACCGGTTCGAACCCCCTCACCCCCCTCCAGAAAGCCGAGGGGGTCACTCCCGGTTCGAAGCCCCCCTCCTCCCCCCTCGAAAACCGGGGGGGGTCACTACCGGTTCGAACCCCCTCCCCCCACCTCCTCCTCAGAAAACCGGGGGGGGTCACTGCCGGTTCGAACCTCCCCCCCAGAAAACCAAAGGAAAATCACTACCGGTTCGAACCCCCTCACCCCCCTCCAGAAAGCCGAGGGGGGCACTCCTGATTCGAACCCTCCCCCTCCCCCTCGAAAACGGGGGGGGTCACTACCGGTTCGAACCCCCTCCCCCCCCCCCCTCCTCCTCGAAAACCCGGGGGGGTCACTACTGGTTCGAACCCCCCTCCTCCTCGAAAACCGGGGGGGTCACTACCAGTTCGAACCCCTCTCCCCCCCCCCTCACCGCAAGCAAAACACTCCCGGTCCCTACCACCGTCCGCACCACATCCCCCACTGCAGTTCCCACTGCAGTTCCCACCGTCCCCACTGGTTCCACCACCGTCCCTACTGTCCCCACCAGTGCCTCCACCATTGTCGCACTGTCCCCATCGTCCCCACCACTGTTCCCACCACGGTTCTACTCTCCCCACTTTCTCCACGGTCCCAACAACTGCCCGACTATCCCCACTGTCCCCACTGTCCCACTGTCTCCTCCGCTGTCCCACTGAGCTGTCCCACTGTTCCCACCACTGTCCCCACTGTCCCCACCACTGTCCCCACTGTACCTCTGTCCCATTGTCCCACCGCCGTCCTGGCCACCGCCCTCACCACTGTCCCCACCACCACTGTACCCTCCACTGTCCCACTGTTTCCACCACATTCCCATTGTCCCCACACCACTGTCCCCACCACCACCGTCCCCACCACCGTCCCACTGTCCCCACTGTTCCCACCATTGTCCCCGCTGTCCCCACCAGTGCCCCCACAAGTGTGTCAATGTCCCCACTCTCCCCACCATTGTCCCACCACGGTCCCACTCTCTCCACTTTCCCCACGGTCCCCGCAACTGTTCCACTGTCCCCACTGTACCCACTACTGTCCCGTTGTCCCCGCCGCTGTCCCACTGTGCTGTCCCAGCGTCCCCACTGTCCCCATCACTGTCCCACTGTCCCACTGTCCCCACGACTTTCCCCACCGTGCTACTGTCCCACCACTGTCCTCACCACCGCCTTCACCACTGTCCCCACCACTACCGTCCCTACCACTGTCCCACTGTCCCCACCACTGTCCCGATGTCCCCTCACCACTGTCCCCCACCACCACCGTCCCCACCACTGTCCGCACCCCGTCCGGTTTTCGAGTGGGAGGGCGGGAGGGGTTCGAACCGGTAGTGACCCCCCGCGGTTTTCGAGGGGGGTGTGGGGGGAGGGGGGGTTCGAACGGGTCGTGAGCCCCCCCTTTTCATGATGGACTGGGTGAGGGGAGTTCGAACCGGTAACCCCCCAGGTTTGCCCGAGGGGGGGGGGGGGTTCGAACCGGTAGTGCCCCCCCCCCCCCCGGTTTTCCGCCAGCAGCGGTAGAACGAGCACGCTCTTTCATTTTTTTTTTTTTTGGGGGGGGGGGGGCGTCCGTCGGCTCAGAGAGGCGCAAGCAACTTTCGATACGGTACCACTTTCGAGGCCTCCAAGAGACCCGAATGACCCCCCCAACACAGCCAAAGAGGCACCCTGTACAGCCAGGGATGCGAGGTGGAAAAATATCAACATCCGCCGCCTGCGGGACCGACGTCCTGGGACCCCTGCAGGCACTGCATATGGACACACAAGGTTTCCCCACGGCCGAATATGTATGAATGAATCCCTGCCTCGGAAAAGGACAACCCATTAGGGCCCCAAGACTTCGAGCCTTCCCC